TATGCCCATATAGCCAACCTATATAACTATTGTGCGACCCATTAAATTTTTCCACTCGCACGGTATACATGCAGTGCTTAAAATGCTATATGCAATTTACTTACTTGTTTTCATATATTATGGAACTAGAACGTTTACCAAATGCAACTATCTCTCCTTTGATGAAAGTTCGACCAACAGAATCAAGCAATCGGTAGGTTTTTTTAGTAAATGCCACATGAGGGATATGGGTTGTTGGAGTAAAATGAGGGGTAATTTTGCAATGTTACTCAGGGTTCAATTTTCATTTTTCACGAACCCAATTTCATAGAAATTGATCAACATCATGAATCAAAAGTCTCTCAAATTGATAAAAATATACAATAATAAATTCAGTTCTTTGTAAATGTGATGAAGGATCATATATTCTGAAGATATTGTTGTTAGATTGTACTTAAAAACGATTATAATTCCACCCAAAATTCTATTTCTTTGCGAGTTTGTGATGTACATTATATATTTGAAAATTGCAGTGCTTCCACTTTTTAACTTCCATTTAGAGAAAATTCCTTAAAATTTACCTAAAATAAAAAAATTAATTCACGAACCATTTTTTCAGAATTAATTCGAACCCTGTTATTGCATAATGATGTGCATGGTATCAGAAGTCCTGTTGTATTAAAGTTGCGTTAGTCATTTAGATAAGAAAATATTTTTTTATATATTTTCAGAAAGGATTTAGAGGTTCAAATATTGAATGAGGACATTAAAAATCTTAAATGTGAAGCGACCAAAATTAAAAAGAAATTGGAGTTACTCAATCATGAAATCATGGTGCCGACAGAAGCAGTGGCACTCAAATGGAGTCTGCAGAAGCTGAACCATTATAACGGCCATACGATAAGTGATATGAAATTGTTTATTAGATCAAGTGATTCTATCGCCAAAGTTGTGGACAGTGTTGTCCTCAAGAAGCTGTTTACAACTGATGAGATTTTGAACTGCTCTATAACCAGCAAAAGAAGTACAAAAAGTAGTGACGAAGGGCCGCATCCTGCATTAGACCAGGAAAGATTTAATGTATTTATGGACATAATTTTATCTAGTTGCGAGGCCTCCAGGAAAGAAATTGTGGACAACCCACAAAAAGCACAAAACTTCACAACAGTGACAATCAATACAGCTTATATACTGTGCAGAACTTTGCGCATAATATACGTATAAGTGACTCCATTATTCACGAACCGTTTCTGTATTAGATTTTTATATTGCCTCTTTTTTCACTGTTTAATGCATGTTAAATAATGTTTAATGCATGTTTAATGCATGTTGTTTTTTAATGCATGTTTTTTGTTCAGGGTTTTGTTTTGGGAAATATACAATTAAAATTAAAAGTTTAAAACTGTTTTCATGTTCATGATACCTGAAATGTTCATGAATTTTGTCATGAGAATTTTATGAATATTGTTCATGAAATGTTTTTCAAACGTTCATGAGGTTTTTCATGAAATGTTCCTCAAACATTCATGAATCATTTAAAATAATTTTATGAATATTGTTCATGAAATGTTCCTCAAATGTTCATGAATTGTTTCATGAGAATTTTATGAATCAGTGAATCATGAAGTGTTCATGAACAGTAATTTTCATGAACTGTGCCATTTAATGGTCATGAGAAAATTCATGAACAATTCATTAATATTATTCATGACTTCTCGTCAAAAATGCATGAACTAATGTTCATGAACAAAAATGTTCATGAACAAAAATGTTCATGAACTAGTAGTTCACGAATTGTTATTTTCATTGTCATGTTCATGACCTGTGCCATTTAACGTTCATGCACATTCATGAACAGTTCATGTACTTTTGATGCAAGTTCATGAAAATTATTTACGAATTGTTCATGAATAATTCATCAAATTTTTGGCAAGGTATGTATATTTTACAGTAATTGTAGTAACTAATATGTCTGGCACTTACTACACTAAGTTTTACACATTTAAAATTAATGCTGCAACCTTTAGGGAAGCATTTGTATCACTACTGTTTTTCACTGTTCACCTTGTGCTTTCAATGCCAGAATTTTGTAATACACATACAACTATAACATCAAACTGATGAGCCACTCTGCCCTGGACTTTATAATAAATAATGTGGAAAATCCCATTTTTCTTTATCAGCTTTTGGAAACATAAATTTGTATGACGTATCTTTTATATTTAATTTAGAATCATTTCCTGTAAACAACTCCACCACCAATTCGACACTAAAGAATTACCTTACAATTCACATTGTTTTTTTATAGATAATTGAAGCCTTGGGTCATATTGCATATATGCTGGCAGTGTTAATTTTAATTTTAAATAAATGGTAAGAGATTTTTAGAGTATATGTAATAAAACTGTACATACTAGCAAGTAGCTTCCAGGGAAAGGGTCTTTTTGCCACTTCTACACACACTGCTATAAAAGGAGTGATACCTGTATGTATTTGATGAACCCTTGGCACCTTAATAATCAAATTGTTTGAAGTTATGTGAAATGAACAAGATGCATTTGAAAACAACAAATTTGCTTACTGCCAATAAATGTACCAAATATTGATCCTGCAAAAATGACACTGTAAATTTACATCTACTATACATATTGCTACTGGAACTGCTGTAGTGCTATAAATGGTCATGGCACTAGACAATGTGTGTGGAAGTTTTCAATCGTATTTGAGATGGCAAGATTAGATAAGGATACCTAAGTGTTCGTGCAATATTCTTTACTGTTCAGTGAAATATTAATCACACCGGCAGTAGTGCTCTATATCAACAAAATCAGATGAGAATTAGTACCTACAGGTATTTGTACTGTACATAGGAACAAATTACTACAGTACTTGTTGTATATTTTGTGCAGCTTTTCTGCTAACAAAAAACTACATATAGTATAACATATTACCATGACGAACCGCACTGCCTTAATTATGCAAACTTTGTGTTTTAAAAACACGAATCTCCGGAAACGCATTAGCTCATAACTGTCACCAATCCAGGTGAAGTGCATAAATTTACTAAGATTTTTCGCTACATGATATTGCTGATCTCTGTAGGAGTTCTGACGAAACCTGTTATTAATATTGTTATTGATTAAAGGTACAGATTGAAGGTGTTTTGGATCTTCTGAGTGATAACAACTTCTGATTTATTGTATGACATTTATTGCGGGAAGCAATAACACATGTAAATGTTGCGCTTTTTCGCCTTCTGATGGCCTCAACGTAGCAGCATATGGTACCCAGAATGACATATTGTAACAAAGTCAAAGATCTATGAATTATTCTGTTCTGCATGTATCAAGTGTTTACCATGTGCCTATATATCAGATAAAGTTGTGCGTTCTGTGATGGTGGCTCAGTAACTGTTTTTTTCAGTATTTCACTAATATCGTTGAGACATGATTTGCTTAGCACGATAATCTGTTCGCACTTACAAAACTCCCCAACCTCTAATTTAAAACAAAGCATAAACATCGGCATCGCTTGCTGGTGACTGTTTTGACTTGCCTTCTATTATTTCAGATGCAATATGCGCATGCTTTTCCCGATATTCAGCCTTTAACTCCTCGGATAATTCCTTTCGTTTAGCCTTTGCAAATGAACATGCCTTACCAAAGTCTATAAGTATGGCATGGAACTGCACATTATCCTTGGTGACGTTGTCTAATTTTATATCATTGTACAAAATCTTGTTGTCGTGCAGCCACTTCAAGGTGTTACTTAGTTGTGCTGACAGATATGCCTTCCAAATTACTTAGATTAAACTGGGATATTTCGGGATTTGGGAAATTGTATAAATAAGTTTGCGATCCGATGCAAGATCATGCAATAGATTGTGCATAGCATAGCATGGCATAGTATAGATAGCATACCAAAGCAAAGTAAGCATATTTATCGCAACTCAAATTCCATTTGAATTTAGTAATCTTAGTTCCATCTGCGTATTTATTCAAATAATTTTAAGCTTCAACTGATTAAAGTAAGATGAAACATCTTTCTGACACAAGAGTATATCAGCTTAAACGTATTTGGAACAAATAAATTTGTCATCATGCAAGATTGTGCAGTAGATTGTGCATTATAGCAAAGCAATGTCATATTGTATTTATCGCAACATTATGTTAGCAACTCAAATTCCATTTCAATTTAGAAACCGTAGTTCCATATGCCTATTTACTTCAAATACTTTTAAGCTTCAATTACTGATTAAGGTAAGATGAAGCATCTTCAAAATCTGTCAGCATAAGATGACGCATCTTTCTGACACAAGAGTATATCAGCTGAAAAGTATTTGGAACAAATAAACTTGTCATCATGCAAGATCATGCAGTAGATTGTGCATTAAAGCAAAGCAATGTCATATTGTATTTATCGCAACATTATGTTAGGCTGTTAGCAACTCAAATTCCACTTCAATTTAGAAACCGTAGTTCCATATGCCTATTTATTTAAATATTTTTAAGCTTCAATTACTGATTAAGGTAAGATGAAGCATCTTAAAGATCTGTCAGAATAAGATGACGCATCTTTCTGACACAAGAGTATATCAGCTTAAAAGTATTTGGAACAAATAAATATATTTGCAATCCATGCAAGGTCGTGCAGTAGATTGTGCATTATAGCAAAGCAATGTCATATTTTATTTATCGCAACATTATGTTAGCAACTCAAATTCCATTGGAATTTAGAAATTTTAGTTCCATACAGTATGCCTATATATATTCAAATAATTTTAAGCTTCAACTGATTAAGGTAAGATGAAACATCTTCAAAATCTGTCAGCATAAGATGACACATCTTTCTGACACAAGAGTATATCAGCTTAAAAGTATTTGGAACAAATAAATATATTTGCAATCCATGCAAGGTCGTGCAGTAGATTGTGCATTATAGCAAAGCAATGTCATATTGTATTTATCGCAACATTATGTTAGCAACTCAAATTCCATTGGAATTTAATAGATTATTTAATACAGTATCATGTAAGTGGATTCGAGAGCTTTTGGCCAATATTTTGAGCCATGTACTTTGCAAAACATCGAGATCAAGTTGCAGAGGCTGACATAAACCTACTCTTCTTGACTCCTTTTGGCATGAGTTAGTGCATGTAATTATTTACTGTACGTTTACCAGAACTATGAAAATTGTTTAATCATACCAATATACATCACTCTGAACACTCCCAGTAAGGTGAAGACCATTCGCGTTCGTATAAGCGAGAATTAAGCCGTTTCAAGACTTTGTATACGTTTTTGGTTCGTCTTTCAATCTGTTCTCTAAGAGCATTATGTGCTCAATCATTCGCGCCATTTCGTCCCTTTCATTGTTCTTCAGAGTATAAACGCTTGGTGTTGTGTTGGCGCCAATTTGAATCTTCAAGCGGGAACGAATTGACCATTTGGCATATATACTGGAATATGCTGGACTGTAGCCACGCACCGTCAAGTGTGCGCTAACTGCGCTTTCTCATTGCAAATGTTAAGATACCGAATGATGAGACAACGTAAGCTTTGGCGATTTCCCGTCCAGCATTAAACCAACGGTATGGCACCGGATTACCATTGTAATCCTGAAGCTTAGGTCTTTTATATTGACCCGCTTGAATTGGTACGGGAAACACCGCAATATATATTTATTGCCATTATTCCTATTTGATATGCTTGAACCGGGCAAGTAGTAATTATAAAGCGTACCAATTTCTATCTGGCTCGATCCAAACAATGCGAATATACACGGTAATACATTACCGCATCTTTTGTCATGCATTCGCCAAGCCAGCTACGTACACCAGACACGATGATTCTAATTTGGCACGTTTATGGCAAAACAGTATAATTTGTAGTTTCCTTGTAAAGTGATGACAGCGTAAACAAACCATATTGTACATTAATAACTTAAATACATGTCTTAATATTTAACAGTTATACCAAGCGATGTATTGCATTACAAAGTGTCTTCTCCTCTTATTAATAGCCTATAATTGGTGTCTGTCAAACCTAATTACAACTTCTATGGCAACAGACACTTCACCCTTAATTTTTTCGCACCTAGTGCGGTTCCTCATGTTAACAACTTAAGATTAAAAAAGAACAAAATAAATGGTGAATTGTATGTCAATCCTGCAAAAGGTGATAGCAACATAACTGAAGCTGAACCTTTTGAGAAAACTTTAGACA